AAGCATCCCCCATCGTTAATGTTGACCCAGCTTTTTCGCGCTTGTCCAGTCTACCTCCTTTTTAAGCGTCCGTTATTCCACCAGAGTCTCCGACATTAACTCTGTTTTCTTGCTTGTGTTGGCAGTCGTGGCTAAAGGAGGATTCAGACAATTTTTCGTACTTTCTGGTTGGTTTCTACTGTCCAATATTGTAGCACGCTAACTTTGTTTGAGCTTCTAAGTGTTATTCAAGGACATGGAGCATGCCTCACAACACAAGGGAGCAGTGTCTGCCTCACAACCAATCAGCACTAAGGAGCAGCGACCGTCTCACAACCAATCAGGTCGGGAGAGGTGGAGAATGGCTTTGTTTACAGTAAGAAATAGCAGGCTGCTCAGAAATTTGAAAATGTGGACTACACAGACATAAGAGAACACAGCGATATCATTATTTTACCAAATGTCATCAATAACTAATAGCTACTGACTGACATTAAAAGCTTTTTTGTATATACACCACATAAAAAGATGTTTCTTTAACGGATTCCTGCCTACCCCACCTTTAAGTTGTAAATTTAACAGAAAAATTCTTTATTTATGATTTTGTATGAGTTTGTATATTATCTTAAAGGGAAGGACAGAAGAGCAGCAATCTGAAAGAGGGGCAGGCTGTAAGCCAGTTGGAAAGAGTCCTTTGGTTATCCTAAATCATGTTTTTGGGAGAAATATGAACACAATCATCACTGTGCTTGCTCAACCAATCAATGCACTGACTGTCTCACAGGACGCTCTCACCAAGCGAATTAAGTGAGTAAAATCATTTACTCACTTAATTCGCACAAATCTAGACGCAAGAATGAATAGTATTTACTTACTTCATTCATGAGTCAATGGTAATTGACTAAGGTTTTTTACAATTTACCAGATAATCCAACCTCCTCACTCACTTGCCTTCAGGCGAGCTACTTTGTATTCGGGTTTCGGTAATTGAAAGAAAAGGTATTGTATAATTTGGGGCACCCACACACCAACACGATCAGTTTGTCCTTCATTTTTGTGAAACGGAAAACTCAGAGTTTCCCTGATTTCAGGGTTAACAAACTCGGAGTTTCCACTAAACCTGCTACGTGAAACGGACCCCTGTGGTAATGTCTGTCCACAGACAAGCAGCTTGAATTAAAGTTGGTGTTGGTTTTTGCTAGTTCACTTTTTCTCACTTGTACCCTGGAAAACCTATGTCTGTGATTATTGGTTGTTACTGTGTTGAACCTACCTGTTAAATTTCAAAAGCAGATCATAATTCGTGTGGGTAAACTTTAAAAAGGGAGCAATGCTAACACGCTATCCTGTCAACAGCATCTCCAATATAATGCTAGCATCAAGCTAATTGGCGATTATTCGTCGGTCTTAATAAAAAATTAATCTTCTTTATGTGGATTTGTATTGTATGAGATTATTGTTTGTGTTAAAAAACGAGTTAAACAACATGTAACATTTTATTGTTTATTTTCATGTTGCAGTTTCACTGTGCGTTAACAGTAAACAGGCTGAAAACTCAACTGCTGACTCACCTGTTCATTGGAGATCATCTGTTAGCTATCTGTCAAGTTCACAACAAATAACCAGGGGCAGAATAATTAACATGCTACTCCATGTTTAGTTTCTATACATATTATAGATGTACTAATCTGTTTTCAACATGTTCTAAAAAAGTAGAAAATGCACATATTACACCAACAAACGCAAGCACAAGAAGCACACACACACACACACTGTTTTATCCTGCGGATCACTGCCAACTCCAAGAGCATTGAGGAAGAGCATGATGCATGCAAAGATGTGTACGTGGCAGCTGTTTTACAACAATATTAGATCATAGATACAGACAAACAGAGACAGACAGATATTTTTGAAGTCATGCAGTCTTGTTTTTTCTTTATTTCAGCTAACTGACCATGTATAGACCAGCATGCCAGAAGAAGCACCTAACCACCCGGACCCTCATCAGTTCTGCAGCAGTGGTTCTCTCAACAGTCTTAGGAAAATCACTGAGAAGAAAAACACTTTGTTTGTTCCACTGACTCTGTTATTGTGAACACCCCCAAGACAGCTCTGCCACTTTAAACACTTTCTAATTGCCTTGATGTCTGTTTTAATTGTTTATAAGTGTACAACTCAATGTCTTGGGACCTGCAGCTTAATAACCAAAGTCTTTGATACTGTCAGTGTCCACCCTGCAGGCTCTACTTTGCAGCCCACAGTAGGCAACCCTTACCACTATTACCCTGAACATATTTTCAACTTTTAAAATTCAGGTCAAAATGGCACGGCTACTCTTTGCACAAAATATGGTATGAAATATAAAAGGCAGTATTATGCTTTTTTCACGGACGCATGTTGAGTTGAAATCTAGGTAAAGGTGAAAATGTATAAATTCCTATTTTTCAACTGACCTATCTCTAAGCCCTGCCCCTCGAATGCAGATGAGCCAATTGCAGTTTAGTATCAGATGTACCGGAATTGGAACTGGGACAGCTGTAGCTTTCGGCTCCATAGAGAAGCATTAGAAATACAGATTTTTCTTTTATCGCCTTTAACAATGTATCAACAGGGCTTTCGCCTCTGGTAAACTTGCTAACGCTAATGTTAGCCCTGGTTGGCACTCTAGCTGAGTGACTGTAACACTCAGTGCCTTTTCAGATAATTTAAATAATTAAAGGCAAATTAATTGAATCCCAACCTGTGGTACACGAACAGTGTTGGTTTTGGATGTTGTCATCTGCAGTCGTGACGACTGTGAGATGAGGCTTCTTCTGCTTGCATTGGGATCTGTACACCCTTGCCTCCAATTTAACTGTGTTCTCACCCACCGCATCTAATTTTAAACTCTGGACACATCCTTCCATGGCATAATGAAAGGCTTCTCAAAGAAATCTTTCTGTGCCCAGAATTTGTTGGGGTTGGGGTAGCATTTTGACTCCAACAGCAGCCATTGTAAAGCACTGCTTAGCTTTGATTGTTTGTCCAAGTAAGCAACAGTCACTAAGGAGGCGGGGCTTAGCAGTAGGTCAATTGTTTGATTTTTATTTTGAAACACATACACTAACAACACTAACTATTTCAAGCAGTACAACTATGCAACAATGAGCAGATATAGAGATGGTTATATTAGTTATATGATTATATTTTTGTTTGCAGCATCTTGCTCTTGTATCGTAATTTGCAGACAATCCCTGCGCAGTCGCCTGGCTGCAAAAAATTTTTTGTAGGATAGTAGGGGAAGGTCCTGCCCCTCTGCGCCTCTGATGGCTAGAAGTGCTGAGCTCCAATTGGTTATTGGTTAAGCCTGTGAAACATCATCGTCTGTCAGGTTAGGGTTAGGGTTTATTATTTATTTATTTATTTATTTAATTTATTTATTTATCAGGGACAGTGCACATTGATAAACATGTCAATTAATAAAATCAAAAGGCATGTAAATGCGCTAGAGTTAGCCATAACTAGTTTTTGTCTGTAGTCCCTGGGCAGGTTATTAAAAATGGTGTGACCATCCATACAAAATCTATACATTATTAAATACAGTGCAATACATATAATACAAATGGAGATACAAAGTGGGTAAATAGAGTATAGAAAATGGCAGTGGCAGTTACTCGTGAGTGCAAGTTTGATTGGCCTTAAGCCACTTCTTGATATCAGATTTAAATGTAGGGTAATGTGCGATGTCCCGGACTTCGCTGGGAAGACTGTTCCAGTGATTGGAGGCTCTCACAGAGAGGACAGATTTACCGAAAACACTTTTCCTAAACGTTACCAGGACATCTCCTCTGGTGGTTGCTCTGGTGTTTCTTCCACCACTGGTAGTTCTCTGCATGAACTCTTTAAGTGGTGGAGGAGCAAGCCCATTTATCACTTTGAAAATAAGACATAGATCCATAAAACATTTAAAACTTTCAAAACTAAATAGGTTGTATTTTTGTACTATGTGGCAGTGATGATATCTGTTGGGTTTTTGATCCAGTACTTTCAGTGTCTGTTTGTAAAGTGACTCTATGGGTTGTAAAGTAGCTCTGTTGGACTAAAACCAAGTTGTAAAGCAGTATGTTATGTGAGAAAAGATTATTGCATGCATGAACAGCTTAGCAGCATCTATTGTTAAGTATGGTCTGATGTGGCAGAAATTGGCCAGGTTGAATTTGACTGTATTTGTTACCTTTTTTACATGTTTTTTAAAAGGTCAGGTGTGAGTCTAGTATGATTCCAAGGTATTTGAAGTCCGATACTACCTGGATACTGCTTCCGTTGACTAAAATATCAGGATTTGGAAGAGTGGAATTGCGTGAGAAAAACACACAGACAGTTTTGTTTGTGTTAAAGTGTAAACATGATTTCCTCAGCCAGTCAGATTCCTGCACCATGGCCTCGTTCAGTCTGTCTGCTGCTAGTTGTTTGTTTTCAGCATGGGTGTAAATAACTGTATCTTCAGCATACATTTGCATGGAGACTGTTGGACAAACAGAGGGCAGATCATTTATGTACAGGCTGAACAGGATAGGTCCCAATATCGATCCCTGAGGAACTCCATGGTTACAATCACGGTAGGTTGACTGAGAGTTGCCAATACGGACACTTTGCTTCCTGTTTATTAGATAGGACTTGAACCATTCAATTGCTTCGGCAGAAAAATTAAAAGAACGTTTTGACAGGAGTACTTGGTGGCATACAGTGTTGAAAGCTTTTTTTTAGATCCAGAAATACTGCGCCCACTGTACCACCATTATCCAGCCTGGACTTGGTTGGCGCGAAAGCCGAACTGCAGTGGGTGCAGAGGAGTGTGGCCTTTGCTCAAGTGAGCCATTAACAGTTTGGCAACCCACTTTTCAGCCACCTTGGACACTACTGGCAAGATACTAATGGGCAATAGTTTGCTGCATTTGTTGGATCACCAGCCTTGAAGACTGGCATCACTTTGGCTGTTTTCCATGTACTTGGAAAACTGCATTGCCTGATTGATAGGTTTATTAGGTTAATGCGCCTGTGTATCTTTTTAGAAATGTTGTGTCCATGTTGTAAGCATCCTTGGCTTTGGAGTCTCTTAGAGAGCTCATGATCTCCACCGCCGCAGTTTCTGTAACTTCCCCAATACTAAATATGGGCTTGTCCTCCTGACTTGGAGTACATGTCCAGGTTCTGGTGGAGAAGCTCTGGGCCAGCTCCTCCACTGAGTCTATGAAAAAGTTATTGAAAGTGTTTGCTACCAATTCATGACCTTGGGTTGCAATTCCATTCACTTTAAGTTCGAATTCCTTTGAATTCCAAGGTAGGTCCTTGTTTCTACCTGTCAATTTATTTGGATTTTCTCAAATCAGTTTCCCATTCCCTCTTGCACCTTCTATGACTTCAATAAAAAACTCAGCTTTGGCTTTTCTTAAATTCTTTACCAGCTTGTTTCTCAGGCTTGTAAAAATCCACCTGTCACTAGTAATACCTGATTTGAGTGATCTCTTTAGTGCCATATTGCATTCTTTCATCTGCTGCCAGAGGGCGCTGTTGATCCAGGGCAGGGCATTAACTAGTCTAGGTCTATGTTTCACATTTCTTAAGGATGGTGACACTTCTCTCTCTGTTATTTCCACACATTTCAGACTACTAGTTTCCACATCTTGGCAACCTAAAAGATCAGACCAGTCAGTTTGTTTTACAGCCACACCAAGATTGTCCATTTCATTTTTTGGAATTATCTGATGGGGTGCTTTTTGTTTTGTTGTTCTGTTGAACCTATTACTGGTTAGTTTCCTAACCAGTAAAGTGATGTTATGGTCAGACATACCAGTTACCATATTATATGTCTTTGTTATTCTCTCGGGCCTATTTGTAAACATCAGGTCAATCTGGGTCTGAGAGGACTGTGTTATTCTAGTTGGACCATTCACCATCTGGGTGAAGTTAAATTTATCTGTTACTTTCTTGAGTTTTTTCCTTTCAGATTTATTACTCCAATTACAATTTACGTCACCAAGGACTATAATTTCCTTATTGTTGTCACATTTTTTAAGTATGTTATGTAGGAGCTCATAGAACAAACTGTTGGCTGAGGGTGGCCTATATGGACATACAATAACAAAAGACATTTCTAGAGACAGAGTGATATTCCAACCAATGCATTCACAATTAGCATCATGCTGTGACCATTTAATAAGACTGCATTTAGTTGTGTTATATATGAGATATATATATATATATATATATATATATATATTAGAACCCCCGCCCACCCACCCCCCCTCACTGTCCCTCCTAAACATATTGTATCCAGGAAAATTAATGGCTGCTTCTAGAGATTTTGAATTTAGCCATGTTTCTGAAAAGCCCAGGAAGTCCAGGTTAGAGTAAGATAGCAGGTGTTCAAGTTGAGTTTGCTTTGCATGGGCACTACATATATTCAAATGTCCACCCAACAGTCCTTTTGGTTTGGACTTTGGGTCCCAGATTATTTTTGCATGATTAAATGTTCTGAAGATTTTCGTTTTACGGTACTTCTTGATAGCTGGATTAAGTCCTTTAAGTTTTTGTTTCGTGGGGCGCTCAGGGAATATCGCAGGGGTTGTTTGGTACTCACCACCACCGCCGGTCTGTATGGAAACATATCTCACGCCGGCAATTACCTCCGTCATCGATGTCAGAAGAACACCACCACCACCTGATGATTGTGGGTATGGGCGCCCCACTCCCACGCCACTGATCACCTCCGCCTCGGCCGCCAATGTCTTGGTGGAATTCCCACCACCGCCGGTTGACTGCGGAGACAAGCGCCCCACTCCCTCACCGGCGCCGATCACCTCCGCAGCCGCAGTTGTAGATAGAGCCGTCCGTACTCCTGGTTCCCCCAGTGGTGATGAACGCACCACACCAAGCGTAGTTGCGGCTGTTCGTAAACACAGCAGGCGTCCCCCGTCGCACGCCACCACAGAAGCCGCGGACCCATGGACTAGATTGAGTGCACTTGGCACCTGCAGCAGTGACGGTATGGACATGTTGGCTCCCTTTCCTCCGCCGCCAACTCCACGCAACTGATGGTGTCCTCCGTGGGAACCCACATGGCCGCCACTCGCACACGATGCTGAATCAGCAAGATTGAGTTGTGCATTCAGTGCAGCGGTGGGAGTCAGCCCGCCATCGTCGATCAGGTGAGGTCCTGGTGTGGCGTAATGGAGGGTTCAGAGATTAAGTGTTTGTTGCCGAACAACGCCATCTGGGGAGTTTCACCCCAGGAAATACAACAGACCTTTTCACTTAAGGTCACACAGATTCATTACACCACAACAGAGGATGAGAGACAGACTTCCAAAAAGGATTACACAATTTTATTGATTAAAACTTCTGTTTTTAAAAGAGCACAATATGAAGGATAATCGTGTCAGTACCAGTAAACAATAAATGCAGTAAATAAACAAAAGCAGGAACAAGGGGACTTAGTAGCAAACAGACTAAACTAAAAAAGGAAAAATTCAAAACCAAAGAAACCCACTGCAAACCAAAAGAAATCACTATAAACCAAAAGAAATCACTATAAACCAAAGAAAATCACTATAAACCAAATACCACGTGCCACGGCAACTAAAGGGAGTGAAGGGGGAGGCCACCACCGGGGAAGTCTGTTGCAAGCTCCTGAAAAAGAAAGAAGAAATCAATGCTATGGTTGGTCACTCAAAAAGCAATATATAGAGTACTGTTAAAAATTGATGAAATGACCTATTCTAAAAAACACACACACACATACAGCACGCTCGCACACACACACACACATAACCACACACAAAAAAAAAAAGAATAAACCTAACTTAATTGGGTAATAAACTAAATGGCAAACGAAATCCCAGCTATTACTATGAAAAATATTAACAAAAAAAAATATAACCAACCAAAAATATAACCGTCAAATAGCAACCAAAACCAACTAAACGAAATTAAAAGTTTCACCCGATAGCCAGTTTGCTAAACTAACCAAATAAACCAAAGAAAAGAAATAATCAAACTCAGGAATAGGTTGTGTTGGGCAAAAACCAGTTCTTTGTGCAGTATGGGACTTCAAAGAAGCAGCAGAGAAACGGAGCGGTCGCACCAGGGCTGGAGGCCTAGGGAAGCCGTCTTTTCGGATGCCCAGCTGGCGACCAAAGTAGTGGGCAGAAGTAGAGGCTCGCACAGAGCGCCGAGGAGAGGAGCGCCACGGAGGAGAGCCACGATCTGTGGCTTCAGCAGCTACAGAGAAAGTGGGGCAGGTTACCATGCAGCAAACGAGCAACTAAAAAAAACACAACCAAACAGCCAGCTTACCAGAGCGAAGTAAGCTTTACGCACGGCCAATCCAGTCACCGTCTTTTGATGATAAAGAGCCAACACCACACTCAAAGCACCTCTACCTCCACGCCAGCAGCAGACCACGCTGCGAATGAAACATTACGGCTGCTATCACACCAAGATACACGGTTACAAAAGTCCAGGCATAAAAACGAATGCTTACCTTTTATGTCCCACAATGATCAAACCCAATGACCAGCGGACAACCACACAGCCCGTCGAGTGAACGTCAGGTAACAATGGGTTGAATGGGAGGACAGAACTTATAAACATCCCGCCCTGCAATCAGGCCAGGCACCGCTGAAGATTAGATGCAGCTGATGCCACTTACGTAAGTGGAGGTGCAGCAGCAACCTGCCACACTGGGTTTGGCTGGATATCCCCAGCCAGTAGAAGAGTTGTTGTTAGGTAGAGGAGCACTCGAAGTGGTCGATTTTGTCTCTCTTTTCTCCCTGTCGAACTTGGTGGAGTAGCACGGCCGTTGTTGAGCAGGGTTGAGTAGGTTGCATATTGGCTGCATGTGTTGAGGCTGAGAGTGATTTCTCGGCGTTCAGTCTGGTTTGGGTAACAGCAATGTACAGACAGCAGGACTAACACGATGACGTAACAAATCTCAGACACTCTTTGCGCAACAGCAGTTGTCTGTTGCTGTGGTATATTGTTTTTGTATGTTTGGTTGAAACACAGACCGAGTTTGGCAAGCTTAGAAAGTTTGGTGTGTCCTTTTGTGTGTGCTCCGGCAGCACCTGCTTGACTGCTGGTCTGCACCGTCATCTTGTCGAGTTAATTAGGGTTAGGAGATTCAGAAGTGGCTCAAGCCAAACGTGAGCCATCAGCCCGCGTTTGGCTTATGCATGTGATGACGTTTCCAGCTTTTCTAGTCAATCAGAGGCGGAACTTTCCACTACCATCCTACAAAAAAAATATTGTCGCCCGGCTACTGGCTGCCCACAAAGATCAGTATTATTCATCAAGCTCAAAGAGCGGCTTGTTTTTGCAAAACAAACCGATTTTTGATCCTTGTAGCTAGTAGTCTGTGGTATTACATCATGAAAGAGGCATCGTTTGTGTTTAGACAACGTTTCGTATCAGCGTTGTCGATCTCGGAAGTCCGAATCTGTGATTATCTTTCCAACTTTACCAAACTTTTTCCCACTGCTGCCATTTATAAGCTTTCCGGCGCACAACACACAAAAACAAGCACCTCGGTCTTTCAGTTTTCAGCACCGGCTACCGTGAGGCTTCCATCTTATCCAGCATCTTCCACCCAAGCCCAGCTTCCAGTATCGCCGTTTCTTCTCCTGGATTGATGTACCTGGCATCCATTGTTTGAAATGTACAGTTCGCCACTCACTGATGCATCTTCTTCTTCTTCTTCTTCTTCTTCTTCTTCTTCTTCTTCTTCTTCTAATTCTTCTTCTAATTCTTCTTCTTCTTCTTCTTCTGCTTCTTCTTCTTCTTCTTCTCCTCCAGCAGGATGTACGCTAAAAATTAGATCAATAAAAAAATTTTCAGGTCAGATAAAAGCCCAAAATGATGTCATATTTCCCACTGAATTTCCCTTTGGGGATCAATAAAGTTGTCTTCAATCTTCAGTTCAAACAGAGAATCCCCACTTAAGAGCATGGCAACAGTGGAGGAGGCTTCCAGGCTGCTTTGTACAGAATGCTGGGGCAGTTGTTTCATGCTGAGGTCAGATTAGAGGACGTAAGGACAATTATAACCTGATCTGACAGCCATTGGGTGTCCAGACCCAACAATTGATCACTTTGACTCGTACTGTCATAGCTAACACTGTTCAAGGACACATCTGCAATGCCTCACAACCTCCTCAGAGAACGTCTTACATTTTAAATTTTTCTCCCTCCCTGCCCTTCTGGGGTTTGTTCCCTAACGTCAGTGAAATTTACTGACAAAAGCACAGAGATTGCTTAACATACTAAAGTCAGTGAAAACAAACCAAATGGTAAGGTGAAAGAAAAGAAAACTGAAAGGTTGGTACTATGAGCTGGAACTATGAGACACAGGAAACATCATCCCTGCCTTAATGATTGCGAGGGATGACCGTGAAAAAAAGAAAAAGAAAAAAAAGAGGAAACTTTCTCTTCTATGTACATCGCTCAATCAAACTGAAACTGGACAAAGAGTCCTGCACATGTCCCAAAGTTTGTACACCAGCCTCTGAGCTGGAAGTTAAATAGCAGTGATGTGTTGCTTGAAAGAAGGACACTGAGCTACTATCATGGCAGACTGTGTAATCTTACCTCAGTATTATGAGGAGAGTTGCTGAAATAAAGTGTTTCAGACAGATGCTAACACTTCAGATTTGAAAGACACCAACCTTAAATAATTAATTATATTATTATTATAATTATATTATTATTATATTACAGATGCGTCAAACTTCTACAAAAGTATCAGAAAGAAAAGATAAAGCCTGAAAAAGGAGAAAAATGATTTAACTTCAAGGTGTTTACGAGTAAAATCACACTCTGCCAAGCTGTTAAACATTGTTGTTTAATTGAAAAACTTGATAATATTCCATGAATACTGCACTTGGACTCTAAGTCCTCTTTTTTGTGACAGGCTGACCAACAAGTTAAGATTAGGATGGATTAAATGGCAAAACCCTGTTATGTGACTGTAATGCTGCTTTGATTTCTCACATTCACGCATGAGAAAAAATAATAATTCAGAGTCAAAGTGTTTAATATAGATGGAGAAGTAATGGAGACCTGCACCCTGCAGGGTGTTGCTGATGTAAACAATCTCAACAAAATTAGTGACATGTTTCTATCAATAATTTTAAACCTAATGAAAATGGTGACATACTGTACTTAGTCTTGTTATTGAATTACCATCTGTTACACTAGCACCAATAAATTAGTCATTATCATCAAATACTCATAAACATACCAAGAACACTGATTTATTATACATGCAAGCAACATTAACACCATCATCATCTGACTACTCCTACACAACTACACAGTACATGGCTACACACTATGACATGGCTTTGGGTTTTTATAAATGACAGAGCAGGAAATAGACAAAATACACGTCAAAGTAATTTTTATATTAAACCTTTTAACTTGTATAAAAGATATCTGTGTGTGTGTGTGTGTGTGTATGTATGTATATATGTAGATATGTACGCGCACACACACACACACACACACACACACACACAAATATACTCTATTGACGCATCATGGACACACACTAACTGATTTCCATACTAATTAAATTGGTCTCAGATTTAACATATAGCCACACTGATTTGACAATTAGCACCAATTAGGTGCACTGACAAGTTTTTGTAAACAGTTGGCATTAGGCTCCTGAGCCTAAAAGTGAGTGACTTCACCCTTTTTCCTATCCTCATAAATGTTTATCAAGAATTGATTACTTTTCCACTACAAGGCAAGCTTTGGACAGGGCCAGAACATAAAGGCAATGACCCTTTCAGATCATTTGCTTGTTATACTGGAGCTCAGACCTCCTATGACCCTTCTGCGCGCCACTGAAAAGGAATCCCACCTTTCAAAATATCTTGAGGAACAATTGACATTAATTTACTCTATTAATGATATTCCAATGTCTCTGCATCAACTTTACAGGAAGCTGCAAAGTAAATTAGTACTGCTAAAATTAGACGCAGCATGTTCTGCCCTTAATAATCTTCTCACACAAAAAGCATAAAACGCTATTTTTTAAGCCAGGCATTGGCTATTCGGAGCTGCTGACAAGCCAGGAAGACTTCTGGCCCAATTAGCAAAGGGCAGGGTTAAATCCCATGAGATAAGTTCATTAAAAGATGAGAAGGGGGTCCTTCACTTTGAAACTAAACATATAGTCAACATTTTGAGAGATTTCTACCAAAATCTATATTCTCCTTGTCTTAAGTGGTACGGCCTTGCTTCCAGCTGAGGTCAGAAATAGTCCTTTTATGATAAACACAATCAAAACTTAAAGAGGAGTTGTCATGTTCACTCAAGGGACAGGTCCATTATCTGCCTCACACCCCATTGTGCAAACTTTTTCCCTTAGGCACTCTAACATTATCCTGACCATGCATTCCCTCATCTATGTACCAAAGCTAAGCTCACTGTGAAATGTCAATGTGCTGTAGTGCTGCAGCGTGTATGTACACCACCTTATTGTTTCTCTGTTGTTGTTGCTGCTTTAATGACTTTTGCGTGGTGAACATGGATTTTGCACATTTTATTTTGGTTTCTGTTTCCCGCTACAGCAGCTTGACACGATACAAATAGCTATTGAGACACTATCCCTGATAGGGAATAAGTGTCTCAATAGTTATTTGTACTCTACATGTTTCCCTATAGGGAAGCATGTAGAGTACAAGCAGCAGTGTGAAGGAGGAGTAATTATTATGGTTCATATGGATTAACTGTTTTCTGTGTGATAAATGTGACCTGAAACAAGAGTGATGTCAGTGATGCTAAATAATGACTCCAGATGGGACAGAAGAATGGTGTGGTTGATGCTATCGAATGTAGCAGTGAGGTTGTGAATGATGAGGAGGGTGAGGTGGTTGGAGTCTGCAGGTAGAAGGAGGTGGGTGGTGATGTTGAAGCATTGTTTCCATCAAAAATGATAAAAAAATAAAATAAAAAAAGGGCTTTTATTTGCAGATCGGCGGAGTCTGTCGATTGTGGAGAAAAGAGTCTTGGGGTTGGATGAGCCAGAGTTTAAAAGGTGGAGGAAATAGACCTGAGGTCTGGCTGCTTTCTCATTGGTATTAACTTAAACTCAGCTTGTGTGTGTTAATTTCTACACAGCTTGTGGTCATGAAATGGCCCTAAGGTTACTTGCTGTTATAATGCTATATAAGGAACAGTGTAATGTTTCAGTGACAATTGAGACTCCAATTCAGTTTATGGTGGTATTTCTTTGCTGAGGGGTCATCCCAGAAATGGCGAGCTGAAACAGCTCCATTGTGGCAGTTGTATTTTCGATCACATACAAAGTTACCACTGTTTTCTGATGCCTGTGTCTTTAGGAAGAGAAAACTGCTTTTAGTTAGCTTCACAATCAAATGAACTTTTATGAAAACTGTCAGAAACATCCTGAACTAACCAAGTACAGAGTGGAGGAAAAAAACAAGGAGTGTAATTGACCTTGAAAGAGCTTCCGGTTTGAGTGTCCATTGGATATAATAAACTATGCTGATCAGATTCTTATAAAAACTGTACCCCTTTGTCATACTGGCTCTTTAATTTGGAGTTCTTAAACTTGCAACCACATCCTGGTTCTCTCTCCCTTACATCACTTAAGTTCATCAATGTATCTGAGCTATAAGCTGGCTAAAGCAGATGGAGGATGCAGCAACCTCTGCTGTTGAAAAGCCAATGCGGGGATGCAAAAAAAAAAAAAAAAAGTGTTGTTCCTTTAGTTTCTACTTTCTCTACAAAAGCAAAGAAAACTCCATCAGGTCTCATTTTCAATGCCAGTTTCGATGCAAAATCAAAATTGTTTACAACCTGTTGCAAAGAA